TCCGCTTCTACGAGGAATACTCGGCGAAGACATCGCAGCGCCTGAAGCTAATCGACGCCTACCTGTTGTACATCCTGTTGACGGGAGTGATCCAGTTCTTGTACTGCTGTCTTGTGGGCACATTTCCCTTCAACGCATTCCTCTCGGGCTTCATATCGACGGTGGCGTCGTTCGTGTTGGGCGTCTGTCTTCGGCTGCAAATCAATCCGCAAAACAAATACGAGTTCCGAGAACTGAGTCAAGAGAGGGCTTTCGCCGACTTTATCTTCGCTCACATTGTCCTCCATTTGGTGGTCATTAACTTCATTGGTTGAGCGCATCCACAGACACACCACACAAACACTTTTATTAATTATTTAATTGTTTTCTATTATTATATTATAATTACATTTCAAATAAAAGCACTTCTTTTGCCACATTTGTTTCCATTGATTTGCGATCATTTCTTAAGCTCTTTGTGTTCCATATTATCACCGAAACACCACTTCCATTACCAATGACTATTCATACTCGTGCTGACCATCGCCTCCACCTCCACTTAGGCGAGACTCACCTCAAGAGCATTCAGTCGCTGATACCGACCATCCATTTGATGAATCTGATCGGCTATGCGATGTTACTTACGAATCCCGGATCAGTTGGACTCTCCTTAAACTCGTTAAACTATTAGTTCACTAAAAGTTTGATTTAATTATAATGTGATTTGTATTTGTAATATACAGTTGGAAATATGTGTTTATGTATTGCCAACTGAACCCCTAATTGTGTTAATTTTAATCCCATTTAAACCACTTTTTATTAATAAAAACATCGATTAAAAAAATTTCGAGTTTTTAAAATTCATTTTTCCTATGATTTGCATTGAAATCGCATTAATTATAGAAAAATAGCAATCATTTAATGAAAAGGCATTCAATTCTTCAAGAATTTCAATCCATTGAATAAATAATTGAAGTAATAATTTGACGAGAATTTAAAGTCATAATAATTATTTAGTTACCTATAGTTTAGTTTGCATTTCGATCATTTTATTTGATGTCTACTTATAAGAATAATTTATTCTATTATTACATTAAAAATAATGTATTCAATAATTGGTTAACATTTTTATTGTTTTATTCAATGCTCAGAATATTCCTTACAAAACAACATTTATGAAACTTATGGTACAGAATATGAACATCAAAAGTAATTTGACGTCACTTTCAATGTGTTTCATATTCAGTGAATTTGAAACATTTTTACATTTTTACATTTTATAAGTTCTCGTTTTGAATGTTAAGACTAAACATTTAGTCTACAATTTGCTGTATTCATGAATTCAAAGTTTATGTGAAATTCTAATCCAATTAATCTCTTATTTCATGTATATTTTGCTATAAGTTATGTTAAGTTTCTTTATTTTTAAACTCTATATTTATTACACATTTATAAAATTCACATTCGTCTGTTAATAACAGATAATTAACAGTTAATTTAACAGAATACTATAAGTTTAAGAATTTATAAAATGTTGATTGTTATTTGAGACATTACAAGTCAAACATTTACATCAATATCTCTATCAATTGAATATTAGTATTAAAGGTTAAGGTTTAAAACTAAAAGTTTTTAGATTCTGAGTTCATTTGTGAACAACGAGTTATTTATAATTTATATTAAGACACAGTTGTTTCAGTTTTGTATTCAATTTAATTATTGTATTAAAATGTGTGATTTAAAAAATCTGTTGATTGCTTTAATTGTGTCCATAATTGGCGTCAATTGCTTCGACGACAACGATATCGAGTCGTGTATGAAGAGTAAACACCATAAGGGAAGGCCCGGCAAAGAAGATAGTCTTCACGACCAGGTCTTATAATCTTTGATATTACAGTACTTTGAATTAAAAATTAATAAAATTAAATTTATATTATAATTTAAATAAATAAAATAACCCATATAATACAGTATATGATTATATAATTATTATTAACTTATATGAAGTGCAAGGGATGGGAACAGTATTCGTGCTGTACTAAGGAGTCGACCATTGGAGCACATAATGAGATCAATCACTATAACTTTAACTACAACCACTGTCCTGGACACAAAATGAGCGACAAATGCAGAGAGCATTTCACTCAAGACTTGTGTTTCTTTGACTGCGACCCATACCTGAAGCCGTGGATTGTGAGAGTGAACCGCACTTTTG